GCAGGGCCAGTGTTCACCTGTAAGAAAGAGGATAGGAAGAACTAGAAAAGATTCTAAAATGCAAAGATATACTGCTGAGCACAAAAGTGAGACTCATACAAGCCATGGTATTCCCTATGACCATGGATGGATGTGAGAGCGGGACAGTTAAGCAAGAAGATAGGAAGAAAATCAATGCATTTGAGAGAATGTGGGGCTGGAGAAAGGTGCAGAGGATCCCATGGACAGCCAAAAGGACAAACAAGTGGGTCCTAGAGCAGATCAAACTGGAAACCTCCCTGGAAGCCAAGATGACCAAACTGAGGCTGTCATACTTCAAACCCATCATGAGAAGGGAGGACTCTTTGGAAAAGACAATGATGCTGGGAAAGGTAGAGGGAAGTAGGAAGAGAGAAAGGCCAGATGCCAGATGGATGGACTCTATGAAGGAGGTCACTTTGGGTATTAAGGGGCTGCAGGATTTAAGCAGAGCAGGAGAGGACAGAAGATCTTCTTAGAGATGTCTCATCCATGAATTGAGATACAACAACAGCAAATACTTATTCTGTATCTGGAAGGATTCTGTTTCCTGATTGTGGCCATATTTGATGGAGGGTGATTCAAAGATATTCTGGGGGTACCAGCATTCCAGTCTCACATCTGGATTCCCCCAAATGTCTTTACCTGAGGAGAGGCAGGGTGGCCTAGTGGTCCAAGTGTTAGCCTGCCACTCCAGAGATGAAGATTCAGTTCATCAGCAAATACCTGGACCACTAGGCCATGTTGCTGCTCCCCATGAGGCTGGAATGCCGGCACCCCCAAAACATCTTCAAATCATTCTCCATGGCATATGGCCATAATCAGGAAACAGGCCTTCTTACCGCTCTATTTTTGTAAATAACAACATAAACAAAATGTGACCACCGGGTGCCCTTGGGAGAGTCACACTCTGTGTCCTAGAAAACCCTGCCATAGATAGTAGAGAGATCTTGTAGCACCTTTGAGACTAATTGAAATAAAGAAGTTGGTAGCATGAGCTTTTCCCATAGATTTCAGTGTACTTTCTCAGATGCATATCTAGACTGAATTCTATGAAAGCTCATGCTGCCAACTTCTTCCTTTCATTTTTGTCTCAAAAGTGCTACAAGATCTCTCTACATACTGATTCCACAAACTAACACGGCCATATCTTTGAATTCTGCCATAGATAGATTCACCTAAGGATTGTCATAAGTGGAAAACAATTTGAAGGCACACAACAATAACTGTAGCAGCAGTGGCGGCAGCAGGAGTAGCATATTTAGCTGTGCTTTGAATTTTCAAGCAAATAAGGAGCTGGGAACAGGAATAAGGAACCAACTTCAGCCTCCTCTCTTAAGATAGAAGGGAGAAGATGAGCTCTGGCCAGGAAAGAGAGGACAAGAGAAGGGGTTCTGGGGAAAGAAGCTAAGCCAAGCCAGATAGTGTCACAGGGAAGGGAAGGGAAGGAAGGGGCATGGCTGAAGGACAAGGAGAATTGCATGCAGCCAGGTCTAAGTTTCTAGCTGGGAGGAGGGCTGGCTGGTGGCTCCCAAGTCAGTCTGCTCTGGTTTTCAGTCCAAATATTATAGGAACTGTCCCAAGATGATGAATCCTTCTGCCACTTCAAATAGGTTCAGCACCTCAGCTGCCCTCTTTATTGCTTGGATAAAACCCAGAACAGACTTATTGCACCCACTGACCCCAGAGCTACCAGCACCTTCCATTTTTGAAATGGGCCCACTGGGAAACCAGGAGAGGGGAACCAATGTGTGCAGAGAGTTGCTTTAATAATAATAAATAATAAATGGC